CGAGGGCGCCCCCTGCAGGCCCGAGGCGCACCCGGCGCAGCCCTGGGCGCTGCACGTCAAGGCCGAGAAGCCGGAGCCCGGGTGCGACCTGCCCCCGTCGGCGGGACCGCTGAGAGCCGTCGAGGCGGGCCCTAGAGCCTCCAGGGTGGCTCTTGACTGCGGCCAAGGGGCCGAGAGGAAGGACGAGCCGGAGAGGAACGAGGTCATGCGGGACGCGGCGAGTGGCGGGGAAGGCCAGAGCCTGGCGGGCGTCCGAGAAGGGGTCGTCAAAACGGAGGAGCCTGAGAGTCTCGGCGAGGACGGCGGAGCCAGCCCGGAGCCCGCGTCCAATGGCCTGGGCCAGGGCAGCAAGGAGTTCCTCCTGGCCGCGCCGTCCAGCGCCTTTGGGCCGCACCAGCAAGACCTCAGGATCCCTTTGACTCTGCACACCGTCCCCCCGGGGGCCCGGATCCAATTTCAGGGGCCTCCGCCTTCGGAGCTGATAAGGTTGACCAAGGTGCCCCTGACACCAGTGCCTATTAAAATGCAGTCCTTACTGGAGCCTTCTGTAAAAATCGAAACCAAGGATGTCCCGCTCACCGTGCTGCCCTCCGACGCAGGTATTAGGCACCAGGGCGAGCCGGTTTTCAGGACTTGGCCTGTGTTGCCCCGCCGCGGGTGTGCCAGCCCTTCCGGAGCCCACGCGAGAAAAATCAAGTCGTGGAAGGGATGCTTCTCAGGGCAGGGTCTGCACAGGTGGCTCTTCTGATTGGCTGTTCACAGGCCAGCCAAATACACTGACACGACCAAGGTTCCCAGACTTTTTAAAAAATCCATTTTAAGGCCCGTTATTTAGATGTGACTAGTTTGTATGCACAGAAATAGACCTATTTTTGCTAGGCAACACAGAGCCCTCGGTTTATATGCTACAGATCATCAGGATTTAAAATATTGTAGCTCAGTAATGAGTTCAAGGAACCATGGTGTTTAATGAAAAATGTTATTAAAAAAAACAGGAACGTTTATAACTATTATAGAAGTTATCTTCTTTAAAAATGAAGAGTAAACATTCTTCTAGAAGAAAACATGATTAAGTGTAACATTTTAGCATTTATTCCTCTAGAAGCTAAGAACTTCCAGAAATACTGAAGATGAAAAATACTGTAGAATAAGCCAGCAAAATTGTTTTTAAATTACTAGTTACAGCAGTAACAACTGCAGATAGATATTTTATTTCTATCCAGTAATTCCAAATATATAGTTGGAAAGTTCTTCTTTTAAGATTTAGTTTTTACCTTAATATCTTTTATTGAAAATGAAAAAAAAATCAAAACATTTTAAAGATTTAGTTTAGACATAACATTTTGTCAATGAATGTCTTGGAAAGTCATATTAATCTTCAGTTCATATTTTCACTAACTTTTATGTTTATTGCTTTGCTTTTATTTTCTTTTTTGATTCTTCCTGCCCATCATACCCCCCTTGCTTGTATCTTCGGTGGTTTTTAGAGTTTGTTTCCATTTTAAGTAAAGGAAAGAAAGGAGCTAGACGTAGGGGCTTATACCAGTAATTCCAGCAGTTTGGGAGACTGAGACAGGAGAATCAGTTGATCCCAGAGGTTTGAGACCAGCTTGGGCAACATAGTGAGAGTTAGTCTCTACCAAAAAATACAACAATTAGCCGGGCATAGTGACCCATACTTGTGGTTCCATCTACTCAGGAGGTTGAGGAGGAAGGATTATTGGAGCCCAGGAGAAGGTTGAGGCTGCAGTTAGCTGCTGTGATTGTGCCACTGCACTCCAACCTGGGTGACAGAGACCCTGTCTCAACAAAAAAAAAAAGAAAAGAAAGCAAAAACTTTCTTAATACTACGAATTTCATCTTTTGTGTGTTTTTTGAAATTTTATATGTCAAGTAACCCTAAAATAAAGAGATGAAATGTAAGAGGTTTACTGACAGTTTTCTTTTTTTAATTAACTGTGTAAGAGATGTGAATTTTTCCAGCTTCGTTTAGTGTCATTTCAGCTGGTTCCGTGACATTCAAAAAGCTACTTTTACTATTTTTCTCTCATGGTGTAAGATGAGTATTGATGTTTCACTTTAGTAGGAGCTTTATTTTCATAGTGAAATTCAACTAATACTGTATTATAATTTATAATTATATCTGTTTAAAAGGACACTACAGCAGCATATAAATGAGTTTCTTTAAACATTTAGGAAATACCTACCTAGTGCTAGGATTTATAGTCATGAATAAGTCATAGTTCCTGCCCCCATGTTAGAATATATAAATGGAAATAAACTAAATGTTAATTATTGTTCGCAGTATTAATAAAGCTCAAAGAAGCCAGCAATTTACTATCTTCAACATTATTACTTCCACAATATCTTTAACAATATTATTCTCTTTGAGGAAAAGGAATCATTCCAAACTATATTTTGGAATGCTGGATTTAGGGGTTATAAGGAATTCTGGAATATTAGCAGTTATTTGGCCATATTAAAGAGTATATTTTGGCCAGGTGTGGTGGCTCATGCCTGTAATCCCAGCACTTTGGGAGGCAGAGGTGAGAGGATTACCTGAGCCCAGGGGTTTGAAACCAGCCTGGGCAACTTGGTGAGACCTCGTCTCTACAATAAATCAAAAATTAGCCTGGCATGGTGGCGCTCACCTGTAGTTACAGCTACTTGGAAGGTTGAGGCAGAAGAATTGCCTGAGCCCAGCAGGTGGATGCTGCGATGGCCGTGAGTGTGCCACTGCACTCTAGCCTGGGCATCAGAGTGAGACGCTGACTCAAAAAAATAAGTATATTTTCTCCTGATATTTAAAAAACAAATATAGGTGGAAATGCACTTCATTTTAAAATTGTGTGTGGCACATTAATTTAGTCTCTTAATTTTTGTCATGTAGGAATACCAGACACTCCCTTCAGTAAGGACAGAAATGGTCATGTGAAGCGACCCATGAATGCATTTATGGTTTGGGCAAGGATCCACCGGCCAGCACTAGCCAAAGCTAACCCAGCAGCCAACAATGCAGAAATCAGTGTCCAGCTCGGGTTAGAATGGAACAAACTTAGTGAAGAACAAAAGAAACCCTATTATGATGAAGCACAAAAGATTAAAGAAAAGCACAGAGAGGAATTTCCTGGTAATCATAAAATAAACAAAGCCTCTTTCTAATTTCTTTTAAATTAATGTAGATAAAGATTAGGTTAGGTTGAGATTGAAAGACAAAATGTGTAATTGTTTTCTAATCTGATATGTAAAGTAAAGAGAATAATAGCTAATATAGTAATGATTGAAATGATACCGGACATAAGTTTCCTTAAACAGAACTAAGTAGGGGGATATTTGGTCTCATATTTACCAAATAATACAAACCAGAGGACATAAAGTTTTATTGTGGTTTGGATAGATTAGATACATACGTAGAGAGAGAGAAATTAAATGAAGGTAATCTCAAAAGTTCTAGCATACAATTTTGCAAATATACTAGAAATGCTAAAGTCATAGCAACAGAAAAAAATATGCAGTAAGCAGTAAGTCCCCTGCATACAAATCTTTAAGTTGCAAACTTTCAAAGATGTGAGTGTTTGTTTGCATGTCCAATCATGTAAGTTAGTTAACGTGTCTGGTGTACATTGTCACATATGTGCATTTTCTACAAATGGTTGTGCTTTTGTATACCTTACAGTACTGTAGAGAGTACAGTAGTACAGTACCTTTATTTCAAGCCCAGGATGTCCAGAAGCAAGCGTAAAAGCAGTGGTGATGTACCTGGTCCTGCTAAGAAGCGCCAAGCGATAATGATGTACTGTACTTTTAAAGGTACTGTACTGTAAGATAAAAAATACTTTTCGTGTTTGTTTTTTATGTATTATTTGTGTGAAAAGTATTATAACTCTATTACAGTACAGTAAAACATAGCCGATTGTGTTAGTTGTTTAGGCTAACTATGTTGGACTTATTAACAAATTGGACTTACAAATGTGCTCTTAGAATGGAACTCTCAGAATGTATGTAGAGGACTTACTGTACACCTAAAGATAATGAGAATTCAGGGAATAACACCATGCTCCATTTAAATATTTAATTTGTCAGAACATACTCCTCCCTTCGGATTGACAGATTCATCCCTATCATGATACAGTGACATGAGTCTGATTCCTCCCCAGCAATGACATTGAGATGAAGCTTGGAAAGATGCACAGTGTATACCAACATGTCTGTGCATGGTGGAAAGAAAATTGTATTTTCTGAAATATGAGTAGATACATCAGTAAGTTCTAGGAGTGAGGCACAACTACAGGGAACCAGTGATTCTTCCGGTTATACAGTGACTACAATTACCATGGCTTCATGGTTCTGACTGTGGAAAGAAATTGAGTTATTCGTGGACTTGGAGATTGCTGAGTCACGGAGAGGGACTCTTCCTGAACTAGGCATAAAAATAGTGACTGGTCATTAGTGACTATTACATTGTAAGATATAGACAATTGTATCTTCTAGAAAGGAAACAGGAGGAAATGAATAATGTCAATGCCACATTATTTTATACATAGGAGGAAGGGGGGAGTCGATCCAAGCACAACACTTTTGATGTTAATTCTGCTACGGATTCAATGTGTGTCATTGGATATGTCATTTGACCTTCCCCTTTCAATTATGGGTTCCAACATTGGCCACTAGTTAGGAGCTAAATGGATATGTGTACTAAAGTACACAGTGGAGGAGTTACTCACAGAAATAGAATTATAGAGCTGGAAAAGATACTTTTGACAATAACTTATTTTTTAAAAACTTTGAAGTGCTTTGCATTTTCATATGAAAAGGATGATTTGAAGGCTAAATAGGGTCTATACTTTTGTATTAAAAACAGTTTATCTTCTTCTATAGGTTGGGTTTATCAGCCTCGTCCAGGGAAGCGAAAACGCTTCCCATTAAGTGTTTCCAATGTATTTTCTGGCACCACCCAGAATATCATCTCTACAAATCCAGCAACAGTTTATCCTTATCGTTCACCTACCTACTCAGTGGTCATTCCCAGCCTACAGAACGCCATCACTCATCCAGTTGGTGAGTTAGTTTTGTCGTAGATTACTGTTTTTGTAATAGCCACGTGAAAATTTCACCTCAAGTTGATATTTTCTTTCTGTTAGACTTAAGAATCTGGAACAACGATATTAAGAAGAAAAATGAAGAGTGAGAACATTAAGTAGGAGGAGAATTTTCAATAGATACCAAAGCACTTGGTTTGCCAGAGTAGCAAATAATCCGTGTATGATACCTCAGACCTCTTATGCTGAGGATGAGCCCACAGATTAGGCAGATAATGCAGGAAATGACTGAGGTACTTTAATAGGAAAAGGAGTATCTTTTTTACTATCAGTATGAAAGAATTCCTTGCTAGTAGGGTATGAAGCATTCTGTCCTGGAATTTAGCAATGATACTTCTCAGGAGTAATCTGTTTCCTAACACATATTTGTTTGTTTCACTATACTGATATACCTAAATTTGTCTTCTGTTATCATTTCTTTACAACATTCATGTTTTAAGAACCGAATTTAAGAACCAATCTTTTTTTTTTTTTTTTTTTGAGTTGGGATCTCACTCTGTCACCCAGACTGTAGTGCAGTGGCTGCTCCCGGCCACCGCAGCCTCGGCCTGCTGGACTCCGGTGATCCTTCCGCCTCAGCCTTCCAAGTAGCTGGAACTACAGGTGTGCACTACCACACCTGGCTAATTTTTTGATTTATTGTAGAGATGAGGTCTCACCAAGTTGCCCAGGCGGGTCTCGAACCCGCGGGCTCAGGCAGTCCACTCACCTCAGCCTCCCAAAGCGTGGGATTACAGGCTGAGCCACCGAGCCCGGCTAAGAACCAATTTTAAGAACTAAAAAATGAGAACTAGTGTCTTAATAACTTGCTATAGGGGTTCTCGGAACCTATTTTAACCATCTTTTTAGGGAGAGCTTTATACTCTGGCTACTTGTTGTCACTTGTCTTAAAATGACTTAAGACAGGCCAGGTGCAGTGGCTCACACCTGTAATCTCAGCACCTTGGAACGCCGAGGTGAGAAGATTACTTGAGTTCAGGAGTTTGAGGCTAGACTAGGCAACATTGTGAGACCTTGTCTCCACAAAAATTTTTTTAAAAAAAATTAGCTTTAGTCCTAGCTACTGGGGAGACTGAAGCAGAAGGATCATCTGAGCCCAGGAGTTTAAGGCTGCAGTGAGCCATGAGCCATGAACCAGGAGTTCAAGGCTGCAGTGAACCATGAGCTGTGCCACTGTACTCCAACCTGTGCGACAAACTAAGACCCTGTCTTAAAAACAAAACAACAACAAGAAAAACTAAGACAAAACTACTTAAAACTACTCTTTCCAGTTTCTACTTGCTTAGATCCTGATGGTGATAATGCTATCCTTATGGGTTAAGAGGTTTAGATATTTGGAAATCAACTTACTAGAATCTTAAGTATTTTCAATGTTTTTAAATTTGTCACTTTAACAATTGAAGCAACATAGCCACTTTTGAGATGTTTAGCCTCAAGAGAAAGATGCAGAAAGCTATATTCTTGTTCTTTCCCAGCATGCAGGCACACTCTCCCTTCACTGTTTGGTAGTGTCTCCTTTGATCTTGTATTGCAACCTAAGCTTAATTATGCCTTTGTTCACTTACCTTGTTTTTTTGCTCTGTTATTTATGATTTCTGTTTTCATAATACATGTTTCTTATTTTTATCCCTTTTTCTAAGCTCTCACTTAATGTCTACTTCTATCCACTGTTAAATGTTGTATGTTTTCTCTTACCAGAAACAAAGTTATCAGTGTTCTTATTTGAAGCAACTGACATTTTATACAATGTATTTTTATTCCGAAGATATGGGCAAAGATCTGAACAAAGATATAGGTTGGGTAGAAACTAGAATATTTTCTTCTAATGTTGGTAAGATCTTTCTATCCATGATGTTGTATTTAAGTAAGATAGTCAAATTTATAAGAAGTATTTCAGAGCTATACACAACAGTAATCAAATCTAAGACAAGGCAGTGATTTTTTTTTTTTTTTACAATATCCCTTACTTCTGGTGATATCTGGTGTTAGTAAAAATTCCTTTCTTGAATCTCAAATTGTAAGTGGAGAATATCATATTTTAAAATTTTTTCCCATTTTAAAGATGTGGGGTACAATTCAGGGTTGGGTATATAAGTAGTCATCCTACAGGTGAGGTTTGGGTCTCCCATTGGCCCTCACTTTGTCTGGTTTGGGATCAGGTACCCTTATTAATGTTATGTGTCCCCCTTCGCCCCTCCCTGGGGAGTGACCCACTACTGCCAATCCCGTTCATGTAATATTATGATAAATCAGAGAACATTATCTTATAAATATAATTTGGGAATTAAGATATCTTAATAAGAAATGGTGAAATGTGTCTGCTACTGTTCTGCCTAATCATACAGCTTTGAAATATGTCCTTTTAGTTTGTTCTTATCAGCTTGCCATTATATTACTTAAAGGAGTTAGTATTACTTGTAAACTTTGAAATTTCACTGTATATTATATATTCTAAACCTTTTTTTTTTTTTTTGGAGACAGGGTCTCATTCTGTCACCCAGGCTGGAGTGCAGTGGCATGATTCCAGCTCACTGCAACCTTGACCTGGTTTCAAGGGGATCCTTCTGCCTCAGCCTCCTGAGCAGCTAGAACTACAGGTGCACATAACCATCCTGGCTAATTTTTTGTTTTGTTTTGTTTGTTTGTTTTTGTAGAGACAAGGTCTTGCTATATTGCCCAGGCTGGTCCTGAACTCCTGAAATCCAAGTGATTCTCCTGCCTTGGCCTCCCAAAATGCTGGGATTACAGGCATGTGCCACCGTGCCTGGCCTCTAAATAATTTATAAAACTGTTAAATAAGTTGGGCACTGTGGCTCATGCCTATAATCCCAGCATTTTGGGAAATGGAGGTGAGAGGATTGCCTTGAGTCCAGGGGCTTGAGACCAGCCTGGGCAACTTGGCAAGACCTCGTCTCTACAATAAATCAAAAAATTAGCAGGGCATGGTGGCATGCACCTGTAGTTCCAGCTACTTGGAAGGCTGAGGCAGAAGGATCACCTGAACCGAGCAGGTCAAGGCTGCAGTGGCTATGAGCATGCCACTGCACTCCAGCCTGAGTGACAGAGTAAGAATCCTACTCAAAAACAAAACAAACAAACAAACAAAAAAACCCTGCTAAATAAGAACAAATTATAGCACAAATCTTTTGAGGAATTATAGTTTTAATCTTTGCAGATGTTAATTTTATACCTTATTTTTGTTTTTTCAATTAATTTGATATTCTAAATATAAAATTTTGGTAATTTTGTTTTTCAAACATGTTTGTTTTATTCCCATGGAAGAAAAAAGATATCAAGGTAGTGAAATATGGTTTTTATTGTACACAGTTTGTTCTCTTTTTTCTAACAAGCTTTGTGCATTAATATGATACTGTATACATTTTATCACCTTTTCAGGTGTAGAAAATAGACTCACCAAACTAGAGTTCTCAAGGTCACTGGCTTCCATAACTGGAAGTTATGTTGTCTTTCCAAAAATCTGGCAGAGGCCATTTGTGCCTACTTTATTTAACATCATCTCAATGCTACCCTCTAGTTTCTTTACAGTTTTAGGTGAATGCCACCTACAATCTATTTATGTTCATTTTGTTAATTTGGATTAGAACAGTCTTTGAACTTGCCATTATACTATAGTTGATTTAATATTCTTAACCTGTTTGCTTTGACAATTAGAGATTAGAAATCTTAAGGTCTTCTTTAGTAGGAAGGGACTTATTGAGTCTCTCTGTTCTCTTTTCAGTTGCATTTTATACTGTAATGATTCAATAATTCCATGAGTCTTTTTTTTTCTGTAAAGGTATTTAGACTCAATTAGTATTGACTTTGAGCTCTCTCCTTCAGTTCTTCTTTGGACTGCCTTTTTACTTCATCTGACTTACCATGCTTGGGCTTATTTGTGACATTTGGACAAGCTTTTGGGTGTGTGTGTGTGTGTGTGTGTGTGTGTGTGTGTGTGTGTGTGTGTGTGTGTGTAATTTGGCCAATTTAGCTGTAGCAACTTTCTGATTTTGAGGCACATGTTTTTCTTCTCTGTCTTTAGCATTATCATGTAAAATAACCTTCATTTTTCTATGCACTTTTAATTTTAGTTATCCCTACCAGCCTTTTTTCTTTAGCTAAATATATATTCCTAAAATTGAATAACCTTGTAGTACATTTTTTTGGCTCTTCTCTTTAGTTGGGAATCTTAAACATGTGATTACTTAGTGCTGTATAATACTTCACGCATTGAATTCATGGGTTCTCTAGTAATCTTTATTATTTGACTCTCAATCAAACTTATTTCATTTTATTGTGTATTCTACCAAACCTGTGTTCTCCAATAAGCCCTTATTTATCCTGTACCAGATCTTCCCAGCACATTTTTATACCATTAGGATATTCAATCTATTTGAAAACTGGCGATATAATTTGGTATTCTCCCCTGTTTCAGGGAATGTTTCTATCTCAGATCTTCTGGGAAAATTTCAATGTTGCCACATTTGCATGCCTGCCTTCCTGCCACCTCCACTACCTAATTTTTATTTTTTTATTTATTTTTGAGTTGGAGTCTCACTCTTTGTTGCCCAGACTGGAGTGCATTGGCATGCTCACGGCCACCGCAACCTTGACTTGCTGGGTTAAGGTTATCCTTCTGCCTCAGCCTTCTAAGTAGCTGGAACTACAGATGCACGCCACCACATCTGGCTGGTTTTTTTTATTTATTGTAGAGATGAGGTCTCATCATGTTGCCCAAGCTGGTCTCAACCCCCCAGGCTCAGGCAGTCCACTCACCTCAGCCTCCCAAAGTGCTGGGATTACAGACTTAGCCACTGCGCCTGGCCTTTATTTTATTTCATTTTTAAAATTTACTTTTATGGCCCGGCTCGGTGGCTCAACCTGTAATCCCACGCTTTGGGAGGCTGAGGTGAGTGGATTGCCTGAGCCCGTGGTTTTGAGACCCACCCCGGCAACTTGGCG